CAGCCACGTCCGGTCAGAATGGGGACGTTAAATCCGATGTCTCGTGTAAAGGGAGTGCCACGCTCTTTGCACGTTAAGAACCCTTGCAACAACTCTTCGAGGGGTCCGTAGGTGACCTGTTGCAAGGCTAAATTTCTGTCCCTATCCAATGTACCCTCTTTTCCCGTGGCAGTCTAAATTTCTCCGACCTTAATCCCGGACGGCCCCCATTACAAAACCTACCTATTGTATTTATTGTTAATTTGTTCTCGTCCTGAATATGCATGAAATATTTGCCACTGGACGTTATGCAACCAACAATCAATCAATCAATTAAACAAAAGTTGTTTGGAGGAAATAATTAAGAAGAAAGGTAAACATCGTCTAGAATGTCAGCAACACATGTGCAATAATTTTATTTCATGAATCTGGAACTTCTCATCAGAGGCAGTAGTTTATGATGGAGAAGCAAAGTGACAAAAATTGAAAATGAAAAATTTAAATAGTTTTACAACTGTACAATGTACAACGTAATCATATATTGCCTAACTGCTATACAAAGAAAGAGTGCTGGCGCTATGATTTCAGATTTGACAGAACTTTCTGAATAAAATTAAGAGGTGCAATGGTCAGTAAAAATTACGTTGATTTTGATTCTGACATGTCTTACAAGAGTACAGGGAAATTCAATGCTAGGTACATCATACTAGTGTTCACATAGAAAAACTGACGATTTTAATAGGTCAAGATATTTTTTGCTCACTTATCTTTCACAATCAACTTATTGTATCCACCTGGCTAGAGATTAAGGGAATACAGCAGCTGTGGAAAATAAGTCACAAAAAAGTCTTAACATTGTACGTCATTTCAGGGTTAATATGGATAAGAAATAAGTGTGTTCATTGATGAAATATTAGATAAAAAGATTTACTATTTAAATACTCAGTTTGGGTAAAAATTTATCACACTTCCTAAGGAAAATTTTGCGTTTACCTTTGTTCTTACATTTTGAAACCAGACTCAAGCTGGCAGCCACTTTTAGCAGCCAATCAAGATTGCAGCCACTTTTTTTCCAGCAGCCAATTTTAATGATATGTATAAAAACCAAAAAAAAAAACTGTATAAGACTAAAACGTTCCAAAATCCCAAATTCTTACTTTAGTCAACTATAATAGCACCTCCTTTGACAGTGGAATTCGACATTTTCACGTCTGGTCGTGATTTTCAAAAGATGACATTCCGTTTTATATACAAATGATGATAGCAGCCACTGTTTTCGAAGGACACTGTTTGTTTAATAAAAAAATATTTTTATTGTACAATTTGAAATCCTTTTTTCCGTTCTTTTTCTCGTTTTCTAATTCCTTATGATTAGGAGGTACAGGAACAATATAGGAATAGAAAATAAAAAAATCAAAGTACAACTACCATTGTTAATAATTGATTTAAGAAAGTTGTGAGGAATCGTGTTATATATATATATTTCCATTGAACTGAAGAAAAAAGATGCAATTTACGACAGAAAAACTACATACAGGTTTTCCATACACTCGGCATCCTCAAATATCCATTATTTCAGTTCAAACCATTTTCAATATCTTTTCTGTTTATATTAAATGAAAACATTTCGATAAACATGTAACATGAATCTGTTTTTTAATGTGGACAAGTATTTTTCTATGAAAATTCTACTTGGACTATTTTGTACGGCATGCGACATTACACATTTATTAATCTAAAACTGAAATTTTCCTTGTCAAATGTGCCAGTACAAATAATTGACATACAACTAAAACTGTGCATGGTGTCCAGATGGGCCCGGATCACAGAAAAATATTTGAGTGGCGAATAGCCTCGGTCAACACCTTTCAAATGAGCTAGGTCTGGTTTTATTTTTCTGGGATCCGTGCCCGTCTGGACACCACAAGGGTTCAAAGTTGCCCCGTAGCGTATTTTCCTTACAATCCACACATTCGGTACTCCTCGGCATATCCCTACGGCAAAGTTCCGAACCAGACCTAGGTCATTTCAAAGGTATTGAAAAAGGCTATTCGCCACTTGAATATTTTTTTGGGATCCGGGCCCGTCTTGCTACTACAGGGGTTCAAAGTTGCCCCGTAACGTATTTTCCTTACAAACCACACATTCGGTACTCCTCGGCATATCCCAACGGCAAAGTTCCGAACCGGACATAGCTCAATCAAAGGTATTGACCCAGGCTTTTCGCCACTTAAATATTTTTATGGGATCCGGGCCCGTCTGTCCACCACAGTTTTAGTTATATGTCAATTTTTTGTAATGGCACATTTGATAAAGAAAATTTCAGTATTAGATTAATAAATTAGTAATGTCGCATGCCGTACAAAATAGTCCACGTAGGATTTTCATAGGAAATACTTGTTCACATTCAAAAAAAGATTAACATTGCATGTATATCGCTTTTTTTCATTTTATATATACAGAAGTTGTTATTGAAAATGGTTTCAATTGAAATACTGGATATTTGAGGATGCCGAGTGTATGGAAAGCTTGTATGTAATTTTTCTCTCTTACATTGCAAATCTTTTTTATTCAGTTCATGGAATATAAATATCACGATTTCTCATATCTTACTTAAATGCATTGTTAACAATATTAGTTGTTCTTTGATTTTTTTTTATTTTCTATTCCTACATTGTTTTTGTACCTCTTAATCATAAGGAACCAAAAAACGAGAAAAAGAACGAAAAAAACTATTTTAAATTGTACAATTTTTTATTAAACAAACAGTGTCCCCCGAAAAAAGTGGCTCCTATCATTATTGGTATACAATACGGACTGAAATCTTTTGAGAATCACCACAAGCCGTGAAATTGTTGAATTCCGCTGTTAAATTATATTTAACGAAGATTTTGAGATTTTTGGAACGTTTGAATCTTATATAGTTTTTTGGTTTTAAGACATATCATCAAAATTGGCTGCTGGAAAAAAGTGGCTGCTATCTTGATTGGCTGCTATCTTGATTGGCTGCTAAAAGCGGCTGCAAGCTTGAGTCTGGTGATTTTGAAAGCAAGTAACAGTTTACGATATATATAGAAAGGCAAAAAGTTCCAGAACGCCACCGATGAGTGTACGATATTCGGATGTGTCCGTCAAGTCACATCGAACCGATATTTTTTACTTAATTTTCCGTTTTAAAATGTCAGTCATATATGTTTTTTTTTGCGTAAATTGTTTTGTTGTAAATTAGGCAGTTACTTTTCTCAATTGATTTGTTTCGTACTTTTTATGTCGGAGCCTTTTATAGTCGACTATACGGTATGGGTTTTTATCATTGTCGAAGGACGTACGGTTGCCTTTAATTGCTTACAACCACTTCATTTGGACTTTGGTGGATAGTTATCTCATTGGCAAGCATACCATATCTCCGTATTGTTATAATTTCGTGATTCCCCTTTTTAAATTATGAAATCTGTGTGTCCATTTGACTCAGAAAATTGAAATCCAAAACCACAATGTTAGTTGTTTCTGCTTTCGGTTTAGAAGCTTCAAAATCTTTATAGCTACAAAGGACAAATCCATTCAAATAATTATGAAAACAAGATTGCTAAATTTATGTTTTCGCCCTTTTACCTCATCTTCAATGTATTTTAAAACAATGTCAAGCACCTTGAGTTTTTCACTCCAAGATAAACCCATTATGTGTATTTTGTAATGCACTTCCATTTTAAACTTCGGGAAGTTGATCTCAAGTTTTTACTCTAAATTATACATATATTTCCTTTCATTCTTGGCTCAAGCAGATTATATGCATGACAAAAGCAGTAGAAAAGAGTCTATTGGAATTCAGGTGTATTAGCATATCAACAGAAATTATTTTCTCCTTCAGCTTTTGTCATTTTGCAAAGCTTAAGTATTGCCATTTTAATTCAAATTTTCATTGTAGTGAGGTATTTTTGTTAATTTACTTTTTTCGATTTCCACTTTTGTACATTTGAAAGATAAATCTTTATATAACTAAAATTTGCTGAACAGAAAAAATAAAATAAGATTATACAGCATTATGTATTTCATTGGGTATTGTCTTTCCAAATCATAAGGTTATACTCCCACTCCTGAATGAATTAGTTTATAGTTCACGTATGATGAGAAGGCTTAATTGAAAATTGTGTTGAAATCGAAAGATTTTTACTCTGCTTATTATCATAAAACACCGCTGTTCAACAAAGATTGCATCTTAAATACTATGTGTGTGTGTGTGTGTGTGTGTGTGTGTGTGTGTGTGTGAATATGAATACGTTGAAACTATGAAAACTGGCTATTTAGTACATTGCTTTCCTCGGCATGTTGGGTGAGTATTATTATGTTAGACTATAACGTTTCATTAATTTTACCAGATATCATATGATTGTTATCGACGTGTTACTGTTCTTTTTTCATTGTTCAATATTTGACTTGGAATTCAATGACTCACTTGCATTGGATTTAAACTAATATGGTTCATTTCTGGTATATTGCAAAATAAATGTAACAGTCTATTATGACCCTTTTAATTGCATAGCTAATGACAACCTCTTTAAATAAAGTCCGTTCAGCTATTATGTATGTTTGGGTTGCTTACATAATTGTGTCAATGTAATGGAACTATAAACATCTGTCATACAAATGGGAGGTTAAACTAGATATAAAACAAGTTTTAACCTAAACCTTTTCTTCGGTAAGTGCCTATACCAAATAAGGAATATGACAGAACACTGTTTTCCATTCGTTCCGTTGGTTGATATAGTTTAACGTTTGATTTTGTCAGTTTTTATGGATTGTTCTTTTTGAATTAACCGTGGAGTTATATCTTTTTCTATAAGATGCTAAAAGATTAACCTGTGTCTGTAACATTGTAATATAAGAAAACTAATTTGCTGATCATGCACTATAATTTACATAATTTAGCCTCTTCTTTTTCTTAAGAATAGCATATCCTGTGTCTTACTTATTACATTGTAGGTTTTAAATTTGGCTATTTCGAGGGTAAACAAAAACAGATATTCCATATTTATATGATTTTTATTTTTTGCATTTCATGTAAAGTAACATTGGACATATGTGACATTTACATGTTAAGCTATAGTGAAGATACATTTTAATATGACTAGATAAAAAAGGTCATTCCATTCAATTTGTTTAAAGTTTAAATGAGAATAAAAAATAGTGCTAAGAAATACCTATTTGCAAACAAACATTCAAGTTGAAAATGACTATTGAATCAAGTCGTTCAATTTGTTCCTTTAAAGATATTTCAAATGTCATTAAAAACATAATTTTTATTTTTGATTCGTTTTTTTTTTTTTGTTGATTACCAGTAACTTTTGTACATTTCTCAAGAACAATAGTATCGAAAAATATCATGCTATGGCTTAATTTGTGTTCATCGGTCATCATTTTCAACAACTCATATTAACGTTCAAGGAAAAATCACACAATGTCAGCCCTATAATAACGCAAATCATATGTTTACCATACCCAAGATGTTGTTAGGACAAGATATAACATTTATATTGAAAAAGGCCTGTTTTTGCAAACAACATAGGACAATAAAAATACTAACAAAATAAAAAATAACTTAAGATTTAAATAGAATGCCATCAAACATACATATTTAATTTAATTTAATTTTATTTCATATTTGATACCCTATTAGTCATAATAAGGATTTATGATTATTGATACGAAAAAAGTAATAATATACATATTTATATTTCAATATGATTCTATCAATTGAGATACAATAATTTTGTTCCACACTCGTTTTTAACTAAATACTCAAACATAAATGTTCAAACACAAGGACCGTTGATCTTTTGTTTTTTCTTTCTAATTTGTAGACATGCAGTGAATATATATTAGTTCGTTTTCAGCATAATGTCAAACACGATAAAGTGATACGTCTACCCATAATTCATTACACATGATGCTTAAAGTTGTCATGCAATTGCTTAAGCAACTAAATTTCTGTTTTTTCTAAGTAACAAAGATTACTTCCTTCCTTTCTTTTTTAAATTGTGAAAGTCACTACCCATTTACAATCATTTGTATTTAAGAAACATAATATTCTAAAAACAAGTCTTGAAATTGTTCATGTTGTTATTGATTAACACTTATAGTAACTAGTATTCGAAATAGATTATACATTAAAAGTAAATATACTTTAAACATCTCAATCCTATTAACAAGTTGATGTACTTATAATCGGAATACTGACTATGTTTTCGTCTCTTTGTTCTCTTTCAATTAGTAATTCGGATATATCTTCGTGTTTATGAATTTCGGAAACAACAAGTGGAGTTCTGCCTTTATCATCTTCTTTATTGAATTCTACATGATATTGTTCTAGTAACGTTTTAACAAGATCTAATTCATTTGTCTCACATGCGATGTGTAAAGGCGTAAATCCATCTGCGTTTGGAATATTTGGATCTGCGCCATACCTGACTAGAATATTAGCGGTTTTGTAATATCTATTACTCAAAGCTAAATAAAACGGGGTAAAACCTTTCCCATTTGGTTTATTTAAACAGGTATTTACATTAAATTTCATTAACAGGTTGACGATTTCAGTCTGTCCATTTTGACATAATAAATGCAACGGAGTATCCTCATTTTTGTTTGTATGTTTTGGATCAGCCCCATGTTTGAACAGAATATTAGCAATTTCTTTATGTCCATTACTTATAGCTAAATAAAACGGGGTGTAACCTTTGACATTCGGCTTATTGATACATGTATCTATATCATATTTTATTAACAGGTTCAGGATTTCAGTCTGTCCAGACTGACATGCTAAATGTAACGGAGTATCACCATTTTTATTAAAACAATCAACCTTGGCTTTATTTTGGAGTAACAGAGAAAACACTTTGACGTTGTTTTGAATGCATGCTTCTAGAAGTGGAGTGGATCCTAATGAATTACATGCATTGATATGAACTTGCTGTGTGAGAAGAAACTTTATCAGTTCGATTTCACCAGACCGACAGGCTAACATAAATGGTGTCACTTTATCAGTATCCATTTGGTTAACTTTGGCATTATATTTTATCAAAAATTTAGCTAAAACTGCATTGCCCTTCAAACACGCCATATGTAAAGGAGTCTTACCAGTGTTGTCTTTAGAATTAACCAGTGACTTATCATTTTTAACAAAAAAGGATGAGAGATCATAGTATCCAAGTTGGACTGTAACGTGCAACACTGTTGTTCCGTCCTTTTTTGATTTACATAATGTAGGCTTTTCAATTTCTAAAATGTTTTCTAAAAGATATACCTGGTAATATTTACATTTCATTTGAACAGTCCCAAAAACTTCTTCGTTAAAGCCATTATTAATGTCATCTATAATTCGCCTGAAGTACATTTTTGTATATCTACTTTCAATTTTAATGGTATGACGTTTTCCGTCCGTGGGAAATAGAACAACCTCAACGTATTCTTTAATGAATCCACTGTTACTATACTTCAGTATACATGGTATAAAATGTCTGCCAACAGTCTCCACTAACATATCAAACATGGATTTGTTTATGCAGGTAAACGTTAAAGCTGTTTCTTTTGTATATATATTTTCCAAAAGTGATAGGCTGGCAGAGATAGCTTTCAATGATACAACATATCTATAATCTATATCTTGAAGCATATCATTCAAAACGTCAGTAATTCTGATTTTGGTAGTTTGATTCTTGTCGTACAATGTTAGTGATTGTTTATCTATACTGTTGTTAAATATAACTAGCAAACCCAATGCGATGAAACAAGGATCGGACGAAAGCCTTAGTTCATTCATTTCATTTTCAATAATAGCTTTGGGATATATAAAGTAATCATTTATTGTGTTCTTGTCTTGAATTCTATACTGCATACAAATCAAAGGAAGAAAATGATATAACGTTATAACGTCATCGTGAAGTAACTGGATTTCTTCTGCAGAATGATAACACCTGCATATTAATCGCCTTTCTTCTTCTGTCAAAATTATTTCATCTGCCAACATATCGCAATGAATATGAGGAAGTTTTAATAAACTGAATTGTTCATTCCTATAAATATATGATCTACATGTCAAAATCAATTTAGTATTCAAACTTTTAGTTATAATTTGTTTAATTGAATTAGCCTCTGCTCTCCACGTCTGTAAACTATAGTCGTTTAAAGAATACTTCCCTACGATATCGTCTATCACGAATATTTGTTTCGTTGATATATCTATTGAAAAAATAAGTTTTGTCGGATTTGATTCAAATATTACTCTATAGTTGTCTGTTTCTCCCAATTTCACAGCAGCGAGACGGGCCATTGATGTTTTCCCGCAACCTGGTGGTCCAGAAATAACTGTTATTTAAGCCCTTTGTACAGTTTCAAATACGTATAGAAATGCATTTGTAATCCTAAAACTGTCTTCATGTGGCCCTTCTTCAAAATGCATTTGCTGTTCTGAAAGTACAAATAATGATCATGATTTACTTCAAGATATACAGGTATGCTCTCTAAAGTTTTTTTTTAATGTAATCAATGTTAATATGATATATTGAATATATGAAGCACTGAATCAACTTCCTTAGTCCGCATATGCATTAAAAACAAGTATTTGTGTTTTAAAGTATAAACAAAGGAAAACAGGACTTACCAAAAATATTGAATCGTACAAATTTTCAGCCCACACCAACCACCAACACCCAAATAATCCAAATAAGATTACTACACAGTAGAGACAAATACCTGTGCAATTTAACGAAAGGATTACATAGTGTTTCAAAAATTTGCATTGTGATATAGTTGCCTTTATATTTGGCCTTTTTTGCTTTTTTATTCGAGCGTCACAAGTGTTTTATAGGCGAAACGCGCGTCTGGCGTACAATATCTTTAATCCTGTTATCTTTGATGATAGTATATGGATAACAAGAAGCGAACAAAACAAAATGATGATAGCCTGAACTGGTATAGACAGATACTTTAATGGGACTCAATTAGTTTTATGTCTGAACAATGCGCACTTTTGAAGTTACATAGACAATAACTGTTTAGTGTCTTTAAATATAAGCTATATTTGTACGAGGCTTAGTAGCAGGTGTAATGCGAGCTATTACTCCTGTTTACAGCCGAGTACAAATACAGCTGATATCTAAAGAGACTAAACAGCTATTGTTTTATCTTGAAATTAATTTTGTACATTGTTTTTTCTTTGAAAGACAGAAAAAGTCACATTTAGTGAATTTATTTTCGATTTAAAATCCTTTGAGTCCCGCGTAGAAATTTTCGAACTGTCCGTAAAATTGAGAATGGGGTGCATTCACTGATTATTGACACTGTTACATGGTTGATTTTGTGTGTTACACATTTACACATTTCAGTTTTCAACTTGAAGATTGGCGCCGTAGAAAATGGAGTTAATCCTGCTAGTCATGTGTGTTTATGAGCATTAAGTGGGTTGCGGATCGGAAACTGGAACATTCACAGACGGAGCAATACGTCATTGGAATGCGATTGCAATACAGATTCTGAGATCACGAAAGTTCATACAACACTCGTCAACAGCATTGCACAAAAATTGTCCGGTTGTGGGATGAGTGTTAAAGCGATATCTGTATAGTATACAAATACATGCTAGCGATATATGTTGGGCTGTTAATGTATGACAAACCACACAATTGCAGGATAAAATCATTGAACATACATTTTGGAATACAAAATTGATATATATATGAATGTATCAATTTTGTATTAAAACCTTTAAAACACATGTCTTTTATCTATTCCTAGATTCGCCTTACGTTACAAGGTAACACTACGACTATTGAACTTATATTTTTATATAGCGGATGTGGTCGGGAGCGTCTTTTTACCACAGAACACCACAGAATACCACAGAACACCACAGAATACCACAGAACACCCCAGAATACCACAGAACACCAAAAATATACCACAGAACTTCGAAATATAAATACTTCAGACATTATATTATTGTTATTGTTAATTCTTTTTATAATTTGACATTTATTATTCAAATAAATTTAATTTTTCTATTTAGGGTCGACTCTCTATCGCTACGCCCCCAACTGAATTGGCCTTTTATAATTTGGGTTTATACCAAAAACACCTACCAGTATTAAAACCATAATATACAAAAAATATTCAAAGTCACAACAATTGTAATTCTGGGGTATATTTGTGACATTTACTTTTTCTTTAAATACATTTTAATTTTTCTTGTTATTTTTTTTCTTCCATTTTTTAGAATGTTTAGATGCATAACGTAATTATATGATGGACACCACAAACTAGTACATTAGCTTGGCTTTTGAAACACTGAATAGATTCTTGATACACTTGATGCAGTTCAAAACCAAATACTGTCGGCAAGTCAGATGAAACATTGTATACACATACTTTACTTGAGATGAAATAAAAGTAATTGGACAATATTTCAGATTTTTTAGGAAATTTTGTATGCATTTAGAAATAGTTGAACTGCATCTAAATAATTTAAAACTGGCATATGTAGCATTACTATATAGATCCTATATTTTGAGTCCAAAATGATGACCTGAGCGAGTTCAGCGGCACATTAAAAGTACCAAAATTTAATTAGATTATCTAATTTGACACTCGTCGTAATCACCAAGTCATCAAGCCAATTAACATGTCATTTAAGTTTTCACACCTGAGACATCAATTACATTTTTTTGGATGTCTTCCTGCTATTCCTACATTTTGAAAATAAATATTCTTTCTATTCCTGTCTTTCAAAAACAATGGCAATGCTTAATTCGACTATGGTGCCGTTTGAACAATATGAGTTCTAATCGGTTAAACAGAAAAGTTTTCATATGGGCAGACATTATGAGTAAAAAACACAAGTGTATAAAAAATTAGAATTTTTATGTAACGAAAACATTTTCTGAGTGTAATGCAGAACATTTGTGTAACATTACAGAATATGTTCATAGTACTTCAGTTGTCAATACTGTTATGTCTAAAATGTTTAGTAAATATGTTGAACAGTGGCAGTGCAATTTACAGTCAGAGAAAGCTTTATCTGGTAAAGGTGGTAACAAACTTCGAACACACAATTTATTTAAGAACAGTCTTGAAACGGAAACTTATTGTACAATTCATTCCAATGTCATTTTCATAAAGGAGTTCTTTTGTCAAATTTCGATGTGGTGTAGCACCATGCACCAAGAATCAAAACAGGGAGATTTCAAAAATTACTTTTAGAGGAGCGAGTCTGTGATAGTTGTAAGGATATTTTAGAAGATGAAGCCCATGTTATTTTATCATGTCCTTTATATGACGATTTTAGAAAAAAAAATATTTGATGAAGCAACACATTTTAATAGTGATTTTATGTCTTTTGATGGTAAACAGAAATTAGTGTTTTTATTTACAGATGTTAATATGATTCGTAGCTGTGCCAAAGGCTTTTGTTATAACTTTTTTTTATATTTTCTACTATTAATATTTTCAAACTGTACATTGATGAAAACTAACTCGTTGGGTTTTATGGATATTTACCTGAAGTTAATTAGCATTATTTTTTGACAATCTAAATTGATGAATCCCTTGTTTATTCAACTATTCCTACATGGATTTCTTACAAATGACATACAAGATTTTAGGAGGAATAAACCATTTAATTGAATTATACCTTGCATAATCAGATGGCAATTAGAATTCAATCAATTGACAATTTTGTAAATAGTTGATTAGTTTGAAATTTATTAACAGATATGGGAGAACAAACTTCATCGTAATAGTGTAATTGGCGCCGGTAAAATTCATCATGTCAACTTTTATTTATAGAAAAAGCATTTTTTTTTTTATAGAAAAAGCATTTTTTTTTTTATAGAAAAACACTTTTTTATAGAAAAATCTTTTTCTTTTTTTTTTTTAGAAAAACATTTATTTATAGAAAATCATTTTTTTTATGGAAAAACTTTTTTTTTTTTACAATAAATTGTTTTTAAAAAAGATTTCTATAAAATATAGTTTAGTATCTCAAAGGTCTCCAAATATAAAATAATTCTACCAAGTAACAAAAAAATTTATAATCATTAAAGAAATTTATATCTCATCCGGTCAATTGTCCTGTCATTAGTGTAGCCCGAATTATAAAAATAATATAATTCTGAATTATTAGTTTTGCATTTTGTAAAGTAATTCAATGATCTGTGGTATATTTTAGTAGTTTTATTGTATTTTGTGGTGTTCTATGGTATTCTGTGGTGTTCTGTGGTAAAAAGACGCTCCGGATGTGGTCGAGTGGTCTAGAGCGATTGACATGAGGCTTAGCGATTGGTGCTGTAGTGTATCAAAGATGTGATTTCGAATCCGGTGGAGGGACAAAAATTTATCAGCATACAAATCTTACTCTTACACTGTTGGGTTCAATTTTCTGACTTATTATACATATATGTCTGAATAAAAGCCAACGATAAATCTAACGAGGCAATATCTACGTTTGCCTTTCTTTTTTTTTTTTTTATCAAACAAAGCAGGACTAATTCTTTCAATTTGTCTTTAAGCTTTGAATGGGTAATGCTTGTGCAAAGGGTAGAAAAGTCAAATGCCTTTATACTATTGCAAGAGGAAAGAGATTTAGATTGTTTGTACAAATCTTTGAAAATTTAAAGTTTCTTTATCTGATTCACGCCATCCTGGGGTAGGTAGTTTTGCAATAGCTTTGGTGCTGTAGTGTATCAAAGATGTGATTTCGAATCCGGTGGAGGGACAAAAATTTATCAGCATACAAATCTTACTCTTACACTGTTGGGTTCAATTTTCTGACTTATTATACATATATGTCTGAATAAAAGCCAACGATAAATCTAACGAGGCAATATCTACGTTTGCCTTTCTTTTTTTTTTTATCAAACAAAGCAGGACTAATTCTTTCAATTTGTCTTTAAGCTTTGAATGGGTAATACTTGTGCAAAGGGTAGAGAAGTCAAATGCCTTTATACTATTGCAAGAGGAAAGAGATTTAGATTGTTTGTACAAATCTTTGAAAATTTAAAGTTTCTTTATCTGATTCACGCCATCCTGGGGTAGGTAGTTTTGCAATAGCTTTGCATCCCGGCTTTGATTACTGATAAAGTTGATTTTAAGAATTTAGAAATATGTTTCCTGGTGCACTTGGAAGACCAAGCAATGAAACTTTTTTTTGTAATGACACTTTTGTTTTATAGATATTCAATAGTGAAGAAAAATCCAGTATTTGATTTGGTTGGAATTCGAAATTTGCAGGAACATAAAACAGACCTATGATTATTCATGATTTTCTCCTATTAAGTGTCGTGGTAGTATAAATTGGTTTCTTAGTGAAACGCCTTTTATTGCGTTTAGCCCATTTAATGGGCCCGATTGCCTGGTATAATCCTAGTTGTATTCACCGAAAGTCGTTAATGTGAAAAAAAGGTGATGTTGGGGCTTCCTGAAATAAATTAACATACACTTTAGTTGCTGATATAAAATTCCGCCATGTCCGTGTTGAGACAATTACTTTTAAGATTTTTGTCTTTTAGCAAATGAGTCAAAGGTCAATATTAGATTGACCTTATTTCTGTTTTTGACACATCCTAATTCCTTTATGCTTCTGCATACAAGGTTTTGTCAATCTAAGTTCTTTGTACACAAATAAGACTATGTTTTTCTATCATAGGGATCAATGGTCAAAGTCAAATTCAGAGTGACCTGCATTTAGTATATGACACACCCAAGCACATGATGCAAATGCATTTTAATTATGCATATTCTGCGTGTTAAGGTACAAACGTTATGAGCCGGACATAACTTTGACAAGGATTGTTTCAAAAGTGATCGAATGTCAAAGTCAAGGTCAGAGTAAACTAGCTTTGGTATATGACATAACCCCATTTAATGATGCTTCTGCATGCTATGTTTGATCAACCTCAGTTCAAATTATAAAGGGACGACATGAAGGAAGACGGACGTACGGACAAGGAGATTTCTGTATATCAAAAATTTTGTTTGCAGGGGTACCCACAGGAATGAAAAAAACTTTAAAAATATTTACACTCTTATGCAACGGTAAGATATTTTCAAAATTAAAAATCTACATCCTGTTGTATTATGTTTTATTTTCTTATTTCCTATGCTATAGCAAGGACTACGATTTCAAATGATTAAGTTTTTAAGAAAAATCTTCAGTTTCTAACTTTTACCGGCAAAGAAGACCTTAGACTTGTTTCAATTTTAACTTGCTCGTTTAGCTGCTATTATTCTCGGAGAGAATATTTGTATCGAAAACCGCTTTGGAAGAGAAACACATGTTTCTTTGACAAAGGAGTGATGGACATTGTGCTAGGCGTTGGACTGTCATTTCAAAATAAAAGCGACGCTACATTATCTACCATATTTCAAACCCTACGATAAGAATCAAAAGTAAGTTGTAGGTTACCCTTATACAAATGTACATAAAGGTATCAAGAAGTAGACCAATTATTTCATTTTTGAATTTCTTCAGGTTAAAAACTTTGCGCAAAAAAGACAACTTTATATCATTGCTCCCCTATCTGTATGGATGAAGAGGCATTATGTGTTTTTTTTTAAAACATAAGCATTCATGTTGAAAAATATGTATAAGTATATAAAGAACGCAGCATCCAAGATATCTGTGAAAGTTTATTTGACAGTGATTGGTTTAAACGTTTTTTTACCGTTTGCGGTGGATAACTACCATAGATTCGAGAAAACCCTATTATAAAAAACAAATTAAATAAGCTGTTGAACAATAGCAATTCTTTTGTGAACTTGTCACTGAAATTCAAGAGAAGGCTTTGTTAACAATATTAGTTACACAGTGTACTAGTTAGGACACTGGCACACTGTGTAACGACCTAATATAACCGACTATATGGAATTCAGACTAGTGGCCTATTAAAGTTATTATTTCTTCAATATTAAGAAGCTAATTTCATTGGTCTATATCAAAACAAATCCTAACAATAACAATTTGTCAGCTTTTTATGTGATTTCTGCATTTATTTTTTTATCGTTTATCATCTTTTTCTTCGTCAGCGACTCTTTTCACAAAAAATCTTACGATTAAAATTGATCGTAAGTTATAATGAAATGTGTATGACTTACGAGTATTTTTACTCTTAAGATTTTTTGTGAAAAGAGTCGCTGTTGTCTAAGCGAAACGTTTCAGTTTTTTCTTCAATATCATATGAATGATTGTTAAAAAAAGGGATGTAATACTGTAACTGACCGTGTATTAAGAAAAAACACACCCATTAAACCGATATCATATATACAAGGTCTCAATGTATTCGTTTTTAACCAATAGTATTCCTAGAAATGTATAGGAGTTAAGAGAATTGCTGATACACGCTTCGTGTTGCCTCCACGACCGTTTTGATCACATAAAATACATTTTGCAGGTACATAATGACAATTCTATCAAAGTGTCATTGTTGAAGTATGAAGGAATGGACACAATGCTTTCTTTATAATCCTGTTGAATTGATTCACTTAGCAGATACATTAAGATTCATTTTAATTTCTTTTATCAACTGCTTGTAGTCCCTTTTTCTTAGTGGATTTCTTCAATGACCAAATATGGGGGTCTTCTATCCCTGTTTTATCAATACAGTTGTTTGTTTCTGTTTAAAATAATGTGTACCAAACAAAAATAAAGTGTTGATGATTTGTCTATTGAAAGTTGACGAAATAACAAAGAAGCTAAAACAAATGCAACATGTAATTTGTCCAGTTGCTTCTTTTTTGAGAGAAGCTAAAGATTATTTCTTTATGTTCTTTATTAGAAAGTATCATGTTTTGGCTTTTTAAACAAGTGTTAACATGAAGGTTTATACAAGTCACTGTGTTGTAACCGTTACTGATACCGTCCTCCAGGTAGCCAGTAATTTGGTGCCGCCATGAGTTTATCTAAACATTTGATATGTACAAAATTAGGCCATGAATTATTTTGAAGAGCGTGCCAGTGAGATGTTAAGATACCTTTAGTCCTGATCATCACTTAAATGTTTACTACAGGATGTGATACGACCAATAATCAATCACTCTTTTATTTGAATTTTCTACTTTTTTCACTTTTGGAAAAATTATTATTACATTTAAAACGAGGATTGCATCATATATTCAGAAAAGGGATACTATTTTAAATGATCTAGCTAATTTAGTACGCTAATAGAAAAACAAAGGATATGAGGTATCCATCCGTGACACAAAATGAGTACATGCAGAACAAAACAAACCACACAAAAAGCAAAGGAACAGCGCTTTTATTGCTGTTCTTCATCTCAAATTCAAGTTCTACCTGTAAATAATATCTAAAATTAAATCTTTAAAGTGGATTAGGATTAAAAGGGGGGGGGAGGAGGTGTCATAATTAAAATCAATAGATTTTTTTTTAATTATTTGTCAAAATGTAGTTTTTATCATGCTATTTTCCTGAATATAATAAAAGTGTGGGTCACCGAACTTTTTTTCACGCTTCAAGTTGTGCAAAATTGTCAGATTTTGTATAGATTATGCATTCATGGTTAATCCAATTTTGTGTGATAAAAAGAAAACTACGCCATAGAATTTTAAGATGTAATATGAGAAGATAGCTCTTGATTGATTGATTGTTGGTTGTTTAACGTCCAGTGGCCAATATTTCATGCATATTCAGGACGAGAACAAATTAACAATAAATATAATAGGTAGGTTCTGTAATAGAAGCGTCAAGGATTAAGGTCGGGGAAATTTAGACTGCCACGGGAAATGAGGGTATATTGGATAGGGACAGAAATTAAGCCTTGTAACAGGTCACCTACGTACCCTTCAAAGAGTTGTTGCAAGGGTTCTTAACGTACAAAGAGCGTGGTACTCTATTTACACAAGACATCGGATTAAACGTCCCCATTCTGACCGGACGTGGTTGCAAATTTATACATCCCGCAAGGCCGAACGGACACCCCACTTTGGCAAGGATTTTACTGCCGGTCGGAGGAAGACCAATAGTGACCATACTTCTATTACCCAGTCACCCTTGAGCGCAGAAGATAGCTCTTATAAAATGCTTTCAGAAAAAAAAAGAAAAATTTGGGTCACCAGACTTGTTTTCTTGCTACATTTTAAAATAGGTAAATTTACAACACTTTCTATTATAAAGATAAATTTGTCTGAGTTATCCCCTCTACTATCTGAGTTATCTCCCTTTTTGTGGCAAAATGGACAAAAAATGAATCAATTAAAATAGTGTGTTATTCTTAGAAAATACAGCCATAAATATGACATGTATGATAAAACACATAATATTCTATATTAACATGAAAAGTCTTGCATATGAATTACATAAAACTCTAAAAATTTGTACATTTCAATAAAGATCTCGACTGATGGTGATCTGCTACTTCAAAATCCTAGATGGAGGAAGACACCCTAGCTACATAAAGTCAAATATGATGCCATACACATACATTGCCAACTGTCTGTACCGTTATAATGATACTTACTATCGTCTGATGTCACTATAGTGAAACAAATTACCAAAATGACAAATACAGCTGCTACAATTAAAAAAAAAACACTATCATTATATAATGAATTATTTACACATGGTTTGATAGTTTTATAGGATTATAATATTGGTGTTTTAATGTAATTCCTGTACTATGTCGGGGTACAGTTGCATTAGATTGAAATAAGCTGTATTGGCTGAAGGTGTAACCGAAACCAATACATATAATCGAAAGCCAAGAAGACCAATACATGATCTATATAAACCTATCGGCTTCATTTCAATTAACAACAAGTAGTGACCAATAACCCTTAAATTAATAATGAGCTATGAATATAACCTTTTTTATTCACCGGTGAATTACCTTTTCAACCTTTCGAGTGTTAAACGAAATATCTCCTTCAAAAATGAAGTCACTGACGTATGTAAACAAAATGGCAACAGCCATTTTACAAGTCCGTTAAGTGATTAGAGAACAACTTTTCGGAATGCATCTGGTTACGAGAAAGTTAAAATGGTGTATTATACCAGTGAAAATTCTGTATAAGACCTCTTGTTTTGTATTGGAATCGTATTAATGGTTTATTCTGGCTATTCCTATATTTTGAATTTTATAGGTAAAATAATAAAATTTTCTGTTGGACTTCTCAGAATTTTTTTATGCAAACAATGGGATTATGAAGGATTATGTTGTAACAACACTAAACTAATGAACTAAGGTAAATCCAGGTAAATCTTGTGGAATATAAAGAAAAAGAATAGTTCATATTACATATCATTATTTTTTAATAATTTCATAGTACTTTTTGAATAAGTAATATTTAAAAGCACAATATTAATTTATAGGCACAATTTTATTCACAAGCAATTGAAATTATTTAGGTGAAAACATTAATATATACATATTGTACAAGTAAATAATATCAATTGAAATATAGATATATTAAAATTGTAGTAAATATTCTTTGAAACGAAGCACTAAATTTTGAGTTACACTACATATTCATTGTAGCAAAGCACCAAAACGTACACTAAATTGACATTAAAACAGAGCACTAACACAGTAATACATGGCACTAAATTGAACACACAAGAGAATACGAAGTCTTAATCAATGTACAGGAGATGAGAAGCAGCATCTCCATACTGTACTGTCGTAACTTCATCATTCTGTAACCTTGATTTCAGACTTTGAAGTCTGTCATCTATTTCACTGTATTTTCTCTTCTTGGAACACGTTTCCATCGGTTCTTGTATAAGTGTGCTTCTACTTCTCTCAACAACTTGATCATGTTTGGGTGAGGTGCCTTGACTAACTTCTTCAGTTAACTATGCCAACCTTCGAAATGATTTGTTATTCTACTCAATAGTTTGTTACATAGTCTGTGAAGTTAAGAGTTTGTGTATCAGTATCTGCAGTATCGATGTCCTCCAGTGTGTTAAACCAATTTGAAACATCTTCGACTGTAGTGGCTGGTAAAATTGGAAAAACTGCAGCTTTTCGAAAAAGTTTGTGAATGTCGCCTTTTTCACTGTATGCAGTCTGCAAACCGTGCTTCTGTCATTAAACATTGCATATTTTGGCTTTAATATTGATTCATTTATAGGGTCTTTGCATCAGAATTAAACATATTTATTTTAAAACCAGTTGTTGGCATGACACGGGTTATGTTCTTCTCATATATTTTATGATGGTATAATTCTAAACCCCTTATAGGAGGGATTGTGCCTGATACATGTGATATTCATATGATGAAGACATGATCTTTCAATCAGTTTAATTGGGGTCTGGAGCTGGCATGTCAGTAACTGCTAGTAGTCTGTTGTTATTTATGTATTATTGTCATTTTGTTTATTTTCTTTTGTTTCCTATTCTGACATCGGACTCGGACTTCTCTTAAACTGAGTTTTACTGTGCGTACTGTTGTACGTTTGTTTTTTCTACATTGGCTATAGGTATAAGGGGAGGGTTGAGATCTCAAAAACCATGTTTAACCCCGCCGCATTTTTGCGCCTGTCCCAAGTCAGGAGCCTCTGGCCTTTGGTAGTCTTGTATCATTTTTAATTTTAGTTTCTTGTGTATAATTTGGAGTTTAGTATGGCGTCCATTATCACTGAACTAGTATACATATTTGTTTAGGGGCCAGCTAAAGGACGCTTCCGGGTGCGGGAGTTTCTCGCTGTATTGCAGACCCATTGGTGGCCTTCGGCTGTTGTCTGCTCTATGGTCGGGTTGTTGTCTCTTTGACACATTCCCCATTTCCATTCTCAATTTTATTCTATGCATTTCTTCGGATACACAGAGTGTAGTTAAAAAAACATTTATATAAAATAAGATGATATAGTATGATTCCCAATGAGCGAACTCTCCACAAGAGACCAAACGACACAGAAATTAACAGCTATAGGTCACCGTACAGTCTTCAACAATGAGCAAACATAGTAAATCGTCACTCTGAGTTGCATTCTGTAATGATTGTGGTTAGCATCTATTTTGGTTGGTATGTTGTTGTTTGGTTGATAGCGGACAGGCAGTTACGGGTAGATCATTTCCAATAACATCTGTCTCCGCGTCTTGACTTTATCTGGAACTTGTAGGAATTGTGTAGTAAGTTCTAGTTGCCTAATCTATTTGTTGTAAATCATAATTTATTCAAATAATGAGATTAATTAATTCTTTGAAGCTACAGTTAAAAATGTTGGTTACTCTTAAAAGTTTTAACTACCTTTTTTTTTATATACTCTTATTCCAGACTTTTATATTGCTTTTACTACTTTTTCTTTTAAATAATTTTATTTTCCAGACTACTAAATGCTTAAATTACTTTTTATTTTAGATATTGTTTTTTCTCAAGCAATTCCATATTAGAAACACTTGATACATGTTTTCAAACCAAAAAGAAACAAACATTTTTTTACATGATTTTCATATAATTAATTATTTTTATTTAATTTCCACAAGTAAATTTACCTGTGACCAAATTAGACACTAATGACTAAAAAGACATATTTTGCAATAACAACACCTATTGTTCTTCCCATAATCTCCCATTTAGGAATAGCCAAAATAGTAAAATACAAAATGTAGGCATAGCCAGAAGACAACGTATTAATGACCAATTCTCAGACATATCGAATGTTAATAAACGAAATTTATTGTGAATTTTAAGTCATTGATTAATAAAACTACATATTTATCTCATCAAAAGATAAAAGATGTACAATATCTAATTCTCAATATTCGTTAAAGTTTTCAATATAGGATATTTTACACTTATCTATGAGGTGACATGTGCTACTAAAATATACCATTGAATACTGTGTGATGACCTTTGGAAATTTTTTTTTTTTTTTCTGGTTCAGATGTGCTTCAAGGTTGCAACATCTAGTTTTTAATATTGTTTTGGTGAAATTACATTCATTTTACTTGCTTTAATTTTATAATTTTCTTTTGTCCAAACATTGCATAATCCTACCAAGTGTAGTAGCTGATAGAATCTAGCCATAATGATGTTATACTTCTACATTTTTTCCTCCAATATATTCAATAAAAGTGTTTAAATAGATAATTAGACTGTACTTTACCTGATATACACAGTATTGTTAAGGCAAATTTAAGTATTTTTCTTTCGAATTCCTCTTGTATCAATTCTGTATTCACTGAAAACGAATGAGATAAAACTTTTAGCATGAATAAGCAGTTAAATAACGATTTTAATAAAGTAGGTTCTTATTGTTTCACGTGTTACTTAATACTCCAATTATATATTTCTTGTTTTAATTTTCATTTTTGTTACATAAATATCATGAATTACTAAAACTGTCGGACAGTTCACCAGACCACAACAACCACCAACACCGAACTCCACCTCCCCAAAAAGTAACAAACAAAAACAAAGAACAAGACATGGCCCAAATGACCTGGCTATGAACAAAAAATATCATGTACATGTAATATTTGGTTTCTTTCAGTATATCTGTTGTTTGATTGTTCGTTTCAAAATATGTAAGTTTTAATTCTTTTTTTTTTTTTGGTTGAACTCGTTTGATGCCTCTAAATAAATGTGCAGCCGTACATCAATCCCCGATTTTTGTCTGTTAAAAACACGGAATTATAATTCGAACATCAAATAGAGATAATTAAAAAAAAAATAAAACATTCAAATGATTCGCTGCGCAGGAAAAGAATTCCCGCGAAGGACAATCGTGAATAAGTAGAATTTCAAGAAGCTAATTGTATATCATGAGCGGTATACATAATATCATAAGTTTTTACAATTCTATAAAAAAAAACATAAAACATTCATAGTAATTAATATATCGTTGGAAAAGAAATCTAAGCCATAAGTTATCAGTCTTCGGCTGCCATTGACAAATTTTCAGCTCTGGACGAATTCACATTAGCATGGTTTACCAAGGAAAAATAAATGTGACTGGTTTATTTTGATAAACTTGGACATGAAAAACAGAAATGGAATGTTCACATGACGTTACTAAACGTTGTCTACACACGAGCAAATTTTCAAAATACATAATAATTTGGTGAGGCGGCTTAATAACTGTTATTTTTCTTAAAATTTCTGCTCTTGATAAAAAAAGCTCAGAATTATGACAAATTTGTCATAGAAGAAAGGATAGCTGTCAATATATATTTAAAATAAATAAAATCTGCTATTGTTTGTGATTTATTTTCCTTTTTCATACATCAAGGATATTTTTCAGTCCACATGTGAACACAAATTTCACACAGATATTCTGGATTCATCCCAAATTATCAATATAGAATTATAAGATTATATATATAAACTTTTGGGCCTCGGTAGCCGAGTTGTCTAAGTAATCGAACAACTATATCACTAGCCTGTCAGCACTGAGGTTGTGAGTTCGAATCCAGCATGTGGCAGGTGTTCTAAATTAGTTAACTAGGCGTGTCAGCAATCTTTTTGGAAAGCCTATTGTAAATTATTTTAATCTGTAAGGATTTCAGGACAGTACCTGGATGACATGACTCCAGTGTAAACATCCTGAGATCTAATTTACGATATCATAGATAAAAAACAGAGGAAAACCATTTGGACAGAGTCAGATCTTTATCTTGTGGCATGACATATGGTATTGCTAAATAATGAACATTATATCACATTTCAATATAATTGTTTGTTCTAATTTCCTGTTCGTCTTCTGTAAGCAATCCTTCATAGATCTCATCACAAGTGCAATCTACATTCAGTTTACATAACTTAACCCTTACGTATGATGAATTATTCCTTTCTGTGTTTGCTATTGGCTTTTTATCATGTTTATGTTGACAATTGATTAGCTGCGATTATTTTGCGAGGAATTATATCATGTATATATCGGGTCAACATGGTAATTTTTTTTCTAATTGATAATTCTTCATTTTTAATGTATCTATTTCAGAGATAGTTTTATTTGTTCCTGATGTTACAAAAAAGTAAAATCACAAAAATACTGAAATCCGAGGAAAATTCAAAAAGGGAAGTCCCCCAATCAAATGGCAAAATCAAAAGCTCAAACACATCAAACGAATGGATAACAACTGTCATATTCCTGACTTGGTACAGACATTTTCTTATATACCAATTGTATCATTATTTTTCACACTCCATGGCTTTGTTTCATATGTTGTGATTTTTTTATTAATTTGTTAACTTACATTTTTTTCCATTGAAAGATACACAATTACATATTATTAGTGAAATCTATTTGTCTAGTTTGTTTACAATATATTGACATTTTACTTTATTGCACGGTTAGCATGAAGGTATTTAGATATGATATTCACGATTGGGGATTGCGTTTAAGTTGAAAGATACGTGGAATCTGTCATATCCAGAATAAATCATAATACTCTTGGCATTAACGATAACTGTTATTGCATATTTATGTATATATGTTCTATAAAGTTATTTGACATATTTGTTCAGCATAAAAGTGCAAAAAACTTGTATCATATTAGTTGGCTTTCAACAATTGAGGGACTGATGGTTTCGGATAACAATAAGAACTGAAGTTTTTATTTTCTATTAAAACTTCAATATATCTTGTTAAATACAGACATGACAAGGTAGACGGTAAATGGTGGATTTGGAATTTGGTATCCATTTCATATGTCAAGCGTTATATCAATTAAGTCAAGTTCTCAGTGAATGAATAGAAACTGAACTAATAATATGTTATTTTAATCGACCTTCTCTAAAACATAATGTGAAATGAGACAACAAGACAGATGGCAGGAGTGTGATCACTGTCAGGCCGACGAAAAACCCTTGCAAAGAAAACAATTTCAAAGAAAAATGTTGACATAATTTTGTTCAACCTAGTATATTCAAGATTTCTTTAAAGGTGATGTGGTAGGTAATAACATTATTTAACGATTGCATATAAAGTTTTATAACATCCATTTATAATGATTAAACAAATTTTAGCTCATAGATAAAACTGACAATGAGTTTCAATAGACATTATATAAAATAAAACTATAGAATAGGATATATTAAACAATTTTTTCTGACAATGTATTACAAAAAAGATGCAAACATGCGATCAGGGAAAGTGCTTTTCCTCCTGTATTGTTGGAATGATTTCTTTTAATCTAGTATTTATATTTTGTTCTAATAATTTACTGCCTTAAAACCCCTCACTGTGTAGAAATATTGTTTTTTGCCACATGCTTCTTTTATATTTGTTTTAAAACTCATGGTTTTTAATATTATAGTAAAAAAGAACCACTATAATTGTTTTTAGAAACTTAAGAAGTCTTTATGTGATAATTGGCAATTTACCCAGCAATATCTATTATATCATGAAGATCATCAGAAACATACGAATGTTAAATAGTGACAAAACAAGAAACAACACAGACATTTATAGACATACATTCTATAATATGTCATCATCACTGTGTAGTTTCTCAAACTTGACATGTGTCCTCATGTCAATAATTATTTACAATTTCAAGAATACTTATTGAATATTTTGCCTCAAAAGCACTGTTCCCATTATTAAACAATTGAACAAAGTACTTATTTTCACTTTTTATTGATTAACTGCTCCTTGAACGATGTAACATTCAAATTATCTACCTTTGTTTGGTCGCCAATTTAGAAACTGTTAAATTAACACACGGCCGATTTACCTGGTGAGTATTGATAACAATAAGCATTTCCTGTACACCTTCCCATGAGGTAGCATCCCTCTTGAGGAAATACATAACCATTACGTGTGTCATTTCAATTAACATTTATATACTTTCAAGTATCACTGCTGCGGCACGTTTATTTATCTTTGCCAATCGAATTATCAAAAAACTGTATATTCAGTCTTAAAACAATGATTTTGTGAAAGTTTGAAACCTACAGTTTCAAATAGTATATTTGGTTTTAATCATTGGAAAAACATAAAATATCATTACGCCGTCGTTTTCGTAGAGCCATTGCCGATGCTGAAAAAATGTTTTTTTTAACTGGAAACCACGTGACCATATTATAAAAACGCGACGTCATTCAGAGATTTGCTGTCCGGCTGATTCTTACATTTCATTTGGCAGTATATACAGCACATCACAATGCTATACAATTATGGCATGCAATGTATGATCTTTCTCCCTGATGAGTTATATTGGATATTAATAACAATTGAAGAAACAATTACACTATATTGTTTTCGATGTTTTGTTTTATAGAGACACAGTAATGAATAGCTGCTGGCATAAATAATAATATGAACATATGCGAAATAAATTGGATGCACAACAACTTTACTTGTATATATGGTCAAAAATGAAATGAAGATATGTCTCGATCGTGACATCTTGAATTGGGTCATTGTAGTTAAATAAACTAAAGCTATTGCAGGAAAGGATCAACTGGACTATTACTCTTAAAATTTACTCGAGACTATGAACCAATCATCAATACAGTATGAAGGTAGATCAAAATGTATTAGGAAATCACAGTACACATGGGCTAGGTCATGGTTACCATAAAAAGACTGAAATAAGGGAGAGGAAATTGGTTTCTTGATTGTAACAATAAACTTTACGGGATAATAGCGAAAAATGTCTCCTATGCTTTTTAATCTAATACGAATATGTATGTTAGTTTATATTTAGTTTGTTGATTGTGCTATAGATAATTGAATTGTAATTTATCTGGCTTTCAACGGAAATCGTGATTGGAAAATACAATTATATGTAACCCTATGCAAACACCAGTCTGTTTTTAATGATTTGGTGTTGTTGTGTTTCATCAATGTCCCACTTACTTAATGTTATTAGAACATGTGCACAATTAAATGCATGAGTATATTTTCATTATTGGCACTCATACCACATCTTCTTATTTCTAACCTACATGTATATGTTAATTATGTTGATTGCGATCTATGTTGATGTGTAAGTAAACTTGTTATTGAAATATCATTTTTCAAAGAATCAACATGTGCATGTGCTTTCAAATATCGCTTCATCAAAACATTATCTAAAGTAAGTTATCAAAAGAGTCTGCTATAAAAACTGTAGAGTTTGATATACAGTTTTAAAAATAAGAGCTTCGTGCATTATAGGTAGAATATTTATGGAATAAAATAATAATTTTCTTGATAAACCGAATGTGTCATATCAAATTTCTTATAAAGACATACTTAGGAATAACTCACCAGTTGGTAGTTCCATTTCAGGTGATATGGTTCTGCAAAATATAATGCCAATATTATGAAATGAATCACAAAAAAGTTTTCATTAACATTGAATCAAAAAGTAGGATTTCTTCTAACTATTTTTCTTACCTACTAAAACAGTCGAGAGACCGATAATTGCTCCAATGCCTTTGATGGAAACATTTATCTTATCAAATATTTTATTCTATTATTAATATCTTTATTATCATATAACATGTATAGACATGTTGAAGTGATGTTGTTGGTGACAAAACAAAACAAAACATAATATAGCAAAAATAACAATTCTATAATAAGTGAACAAATAAAGAAAAAAAAATATAAGACTTCTGCCCTCAGTTTTTATGACTGTTTTAAAAAGGAGCCAATATTTAAAACCTGTTCCAAGATGGAGGGGTTTAGCATATCTTTTACTTTTTGTCTTGGGTAAGAGTTAAGGTTTCACTCCTAAGAAAAGACACGGGTTATGTTCTTCTCATATATTTTATGATGGTATAATACTAAACCCCTAACAGGAGGGATTGTGCCTGATATTCATATGATGAAGACATAATCTTTCAATCAGTTTAATTGAGGTCTGGAGATGGCATGTCAGTAACTGCTAGTAGTCTGTTGTTATTTATGTATTATTGTCATTTTGTTTATTTTCTTTTGTTTCCTATTCTGACATCGGACTCGGACTTTTCTTTAACTGAGTTTTACTGTGCGTACTGTTGTACGTTTGTTTTTTCTACATTGGCTAGAGGTATAGGGAGATGGTTGAGATATCAAAAAACATGTTTAACCCCGCCACATTTTTGCGTCTGTCCCAAGTCAGGAGCCTCTGGCCTTTGTTAGTCTTGTATCATTTTTAATTTTAGTTTCTTGTGTATAATTTTGAGTTTAGTATGACGTCCATTATCACTGAACTAGTATACATATTTGTTCAGGGGCCAGCTGAAGGACGCCTCCGGGTGCGGGAGTTTCTCGCTGCATTGAAGACCCATTGGTGACCTTCGGCTGTTGTCTGCTCTATGGTCGGGTTGTTGTCTCTTTGACACATTCCCCATTTCCATTCTCAATTTTATTTCAAACATTTTGCTGACCTCTTCAGGCCTTTTTTTTAACTTAGTTCTTTTTATAATTCCCTTATGGTATTAAGTCTAAGTGATCACCAAAGGTATTCTAGAAACATTTTGTTTTGGTTTGAAGCCATGCATCACAGAGCAACAAGTGTTTAATGTGTATGTCCATTAAACTATAAAACTACATTTCGTGCATGTAGAACATATTTTGTATCAACGTTCACCAAACACGAAAGTCTCAAGTGTTAAAAACATTCTACGCCAATCATTGTTATTGAGTTGTTTTTATCTATTAAGAAACATATTAAATAAGAAGCATGCAGTGATTTGATTGTCACTTGGCCCGAGAACACAGTTATTGCGTAGGATTTCTTTTAGACAATAAAGTTAAATTAAAAAAATCGCACCTGCTCAATCTCAAAAAGATTTTTACAGTGTATTGTGCTACTATTGGGACAAATAAAATCAAAATTATAGAAAAGTCTACCAGCTCTAACTCAAAATATTGACAATTCTATGTTAAGGTGGTCTAAAATTCAGTTTGGCAGCTTCAGACATACTAATTTTTTAGACCTTTTTTAACTGGACCAAATCACTACTTAACATAAAGATTCAGCAACCCCATTTTTTCAACATGTAATTTCATCCCCTTACTTAATATTTCATGCATAAAATATAAAGAAATAAAATTGGAAAATGTATGAAAAAAATTTGCAAGTTATACTGTCCACACTAGGGACATTGTAGACAACGAAAATCTAAGGACGATAACTGTGTCCTCGGACCTAATAGTATAGAAATACTTGACCAATTCTAATAAAACTTTGCATGACCTACGCTTAGGGAATTATAAGATTGTTGGCCAAGTTTCATGGCCATAGGATATACATTATAGAAACTATGGCCATTTTAATATTGAAAATTGAATGTTTAATTTTGACGTTTAAATCAAATAATTTCAACTATCAAGCTTAAAAAATTTAAATATTGCAAAAATTTGCCTTTTAAATGCTCTTAAATATAATATAGTAAGTATTAAAAGCAACTGAACACTCATTTGATTTATCAGATTAATTACAATTATTCAAAAGTCAAATTTATATGAGCCTGTGCCTGAAAATAGAGATTTTCGAATTAAGGGGATCCTTACATAAACATGCATTTTTTTCAACCAATTTGCAGTTTTTGAAGTTTTTTTACCATAAATTATATATCCATATGTATTAAATGTACTTTAAATGGAATGAAAAGTTACAAAAAAGCATACCAAATGAGTATAAAATGGTCTTAGGCTATGTAAGACTGAACATTATTTAGAGTCAATTTAGGCCGTAGCACATATTTACCTATAAAAAATGAATACAGAAGCTATAAGAAATAGAAATTTGTTACGTTTTGCTCATTTCTATGCTAAGATGTCATGATACAAGAAGTCTAATTGCAAAAGGACTCTTGCATTCAACTTTTTTTTGTATGGTCTGATGCACAGTTTTTTTTTAAACTTTTCAATGGAAAACTTGCATGTAGTTTTATTCTCAACTGGCATATATTTGAACCACATACTATCCTACAGAAGAAAATAAAGGTAGTGAAATGGATAAGGTGCACAGATCATTGTCAAGTGCTTTTTTTTTTTTATATATTTAGTGAAATATTTATGATGGACGACTCATTATATGTACAAAGCTCTTCACATTTCACATACATTAAACGGGCCGTTCGACCAGGGCCTAAATACACCATATTTTGCACATTTTTTTCGGTGATAATCTAATTTTCTCTATATTCAGAGTTCACAACTGGTTCATAGAATTTGAATTTATCATGAAACACAAATATCAAAGCATAAAAAGCTGTCAGTTAGAAAGTCAGTATGCCTCTTAGGCTTAAAAATGGAAACTGCTTTAAAATGCTTATTTTATCCGTAGAATGTCAAAATGGGACATTTTAACAGAACTTCTTTCAAATAAAGATGTAAATCTTTTACTTTTATTGAGTTTGAAAAATTTAAACCAGCAAACCATTCTTGGACGTTGCCAAAGTACAGAATCTACATTTCCTGAATTCATCTCTTAGGCCCGAGAACACAGTTAGTTTTCCCTTTTGACTTTGTTGACATTTGTCATTTTGGGTCCTTAAATAGCTTTCTATGTGATATTGGTTTTTGCTCATTGTTGAAGGCCGTACGGTGACCAATAGTTATTAACCTGTTTTTCAGAGGGAGACGACAATCTTCACATGGCACGCAATTTTGTTTTTTATCGATCGGTAACAGGGATAATATGTCATTTGATACAAGCCTGTCATGGTGTGAACATCAACTGGACACTTGAAATTTGTTGAATGTTATTATAAACATAAGCTGTAATTATAAGTTGTAATTATTATACAATATTCCTAAATGTATATATTATAAAACGAATATGGTTATTGTCAGTTTTGCTGGGAATATAAATATTTATCCCGTTATTAAACTTCTAAATCCGGTGGACTTATTTTGTACGACATGTAGATAAATTGAATACTCATTAATTTAATTCATGTATTTGATTTTTTTCAGTATTTGTTCTGGACAAAATTTTATTAAATATGAAATTATCAATATTGAAATTTCTCCATTTATCAGAAAAAAAACTACTACCAAAAAACCAGAAAACACAATCTACAAGGGACAATAATAAGTCATAGAGACGACCGATATAACAAAAAATACAAAATTAAAAAAAAATAAAAAGCCATGTTACATGGCAGAGCTCTATTTACAATGTTTTCCTGGTTTTTCTGTTACTAATATTTAAAAAAAAAAACAATGTTTTTTGTCCTGAGGTTTACGTCTTTATTTACGGATTTGACAATAATAGTTGGATATTTTATTTGAAAATTATCGTTTTTATCGAGTTACTATGCAGCAACGGATAGAGACTTAAGGAAACCTTTTATGTTCAGGGTTGTATGAACAATATACTTTAACTCGTATAAATTTCAATGTGTTTTTACATACAAACTAACGAAAAATTAATAAAAAAAAGTGTGTCTTGAATTTTGTACAGAGATCGAATACAAATTCCCGTCATCATATGACATAATCTTTAATGATATAATTTATCAAAAAGAAGTAAAAAATCATTAAGTATTTTATGTAAAAATCATTTTCGATCATCAATAAATCTTTCTATGAGAAAGCATGCTATATTTTTCTTCTGAATGCAATGGAGTATACTTGATATAAAAAAATCAACAAATCGATCTTTTTCAATATTCAAAATTGTCAAACGGAAGCTGAATTCGTACTACGTGACCTAAAAAACCTTTGCACTCAACATTTAGGCAGCCTGTTATCCTTCCTTATCTTCTTATTCTTTTGTTGGAGAGTTGTTTTATTGGCAATCATACCACATCTTTTTATTTATCTTAAATTATATAATATCGCATGGGCAGCATAGAGGCAGCCATTTTTTTATTTGAACTGGCAGCAAATCGAGGTGAAAACGCTACCACTATACCACTGAGGCGGTTATGAATTTCGAAGACACACGTACATAGATATAAGAAGATGTGGTATGAGTGCCAATGAGACAACTCTCCATTCAAGTCACAATTTGTAAAAGTAAACCATTACTGGTCAAAGTCCGGTCTTCAACACGGAGCCTTGGCTCACACCGAACAGCAAGCTATAAAGGGCCCCAAATATGACTAGTGTAAAACCATTCAAACGGGAAAACCAACGGTCTAATCTACACAAAAAAACGAGAAACGAGAAACACTTCGAAGTTCCTTCAGACACTTGTCAAAAACAAGAAGATCAAAGAAGCCAGGTTATTTAATTTCACTTTCAGATATATTGATGATGTTCTTTCCATTAACAATCCGAACTTTTCTGATTGGGTTCCATTAATATATCCACCAGAACTTGAAATTAAAGAAACAACAGACACGGCTTCCTCCGC